AAAATAGAACAACACTATATAAATCAGTCCATTTAACATTTATCATATTATTTTACTATAAAATGTATTTTGATACACACACACATGCACATACATTACTACACTAAATGAATAAAATGTGCAGTACAGTAGTCCCTCGCTGCTTTGCGGTTCGTTTTTCACGGGTTTGCTAAATTGTGGATTTTCAAAATAAGATTGGACATGACACAGTTGGCTGATTGATGGATGAGCCATGGGTTGTTTATTTAAAATAAATTGTTTTTTTTTTATTAAACTTTTTTTTCATTCAACCTTTATTTAAACAGATAAATCACATTGAGCCTCGAAGACTCATTTACAAGTGAGACCTGTTTGGACAGACAAAAAACAGTGGTTCACTGGAAACATGTAGAAGTTGGAGGTGAAAAATAATCCTATCAAACTTTTTTTTCTTGCCTGAGAAAAAAAAACATCCATCCATCCATCCATCCATTTTCTTCCGCTTATCCGGGGTCGCGTCGCGGGGGTAGCAGCCTAAGAAGGGAGGCCCAGACTTCCCTCTCCCCGGCCACTTGGTTCAGCTCCTCCGGGGGAATCCCGAGGCATTCTCATGCCAGCCGAGAAACATAGTCCCTCCAGCGTGTCCTGGGTCTTCCTCTGGGCCTCCTTCCAGTGGGACATGTCTGGAACACCTCACCAGGGAGGCGTCCAGGAGGCATCCTAAAAAGATGTCAAAGCCACCTCAACTGGCTCCTCTCAACGTGGAGAAGCAGCAGCTCTACTCTGAGTCCCTCCTAGATGATCGAGCTTCTCACCCTATCTCTAAGGGAGAGCCCAGACACCTTGCAGAGAAAACTCATTTCAGCCGCTTGTATCCAAGATCTCGTTCTTTCGGTCACAACCCAAAGCTCATGACCATAGATGAGGGTAGGAACGTAGATCGATCGGTAAATTGAGAGATTTGCCTTTTGACTCAGCTCTCTCTTCACCAGGACAGACCTGTACAGTGCCTGCTTCACTGCAGAAGCTGCACCTATCCGCCTATTGATCTCACGCTCCATTTTTCCCTCATTCGTGAACAAGACCCCAAGATACTTGAACTTCTCCACTTGGGGTAGGACCTCCTCCCTGACCCGGAGAGGGCACTCTACCCTTTTCCGGCTCAAGACCATGGCCTCGGATTTGGAGGAACAGATCCTCATCCCGGCCGCGTCACATTCGGCTGCAAACCGCTCCAGCGAAAGCTGTAGATCACGATCTGATGAAGCCAATAGGACCACATCATCTGCAAAAAGCAGAGACGCAATCCTAAGGCCACCAAAACGGATCCCCTCAACACCTTGGCTGCACCTAGAAATTCTGTCCATAAAAGTTATGAACAGAATTGGTGACAAAGGACAACCTTGGCGGAGTCCAACTCTCACCGGGAACAAGCCCGACTTGCTGCCGGCAATGCGGACCAGGCTCTGACACCGGTCGTACAGGGACCTAACAGCCCATATCAAAGGGCCCGGTACCCCATACTCCCAGAGTACCCTCCACAGCGTTTCCCGAGGGACGCGGTCGAACGCCTTCTCCAAGTCCACAAAGCACATGTAGACCAGTTGGGCAATCTCCCACGCACCTTCCAGGACCCTGCTGAGAGTGTAGAGCTGGTCCAGTGTTCCACGGCCAGGACAAAAACCGTACTGCTCCTCCTGAATTCGAGGTTTGACTATCCGATGGACCCTCCTCTCCAGAACCTCAGAATAGACCTTATCAGGGAGGCTTAAGAGCGTGATTCCCCTGTAGTTGGAACACACTCTACGGTCCTCCTTTTTGAAAAGGGGGACCAGCACCCCGGTCTGCCAATGCAGGGGAACTTCCACTGATGTCCACGCAATATTGCAGAGTTGCGTAAGCCAACACAACCCTACAACATCCAGAGCCTTAAGGAACTCCAGGCGAATCTCATCCACCTCTGGGGCCCTGCCACAGAGGAGATTTTTAATCACCTCAGTGACCTTAGCACCAGATATTGGAGGGCCTGACCCAGAGTCCCCAGGCTCCGCTTCCTCAGTGGAAGACGTGCCGGTGGGATTGAGGAGGTCTTCAAAGTATTCTGCCCACTGACCCACAACATCCTGAGTTGAGGTCAGCAGCACACCACTCCCACTATAAACAGTGTTGGTGGTGTACTGCTTTCTCTCCCTGAGATGCCAGATAGTGGACCAAAATCGCCTCAAAGCCGTGCAGCAGTCATTCTCCATGGCCTCTCCGAACTCCTCCCATGCTCGAGTTATTGCCTCAGCAACCACCCGAGCCGCATGTCGCTTGGACTGCTGGTATCCATCAGCTGCTTCTGGGGTCCCACAGGCCAAAAAGGCCCAATAGGACTCATTCTTTAACCTGACAGCATCCCTCACCGATGGTGTCCACCACCGGGTTAGAGGTTTGCCACTGCGACAGGCACCGACAACCCTGCGGCCGCTTCTCCGGTATGCCGCCTCGACAATAGAGGCACGGAACATGGCCTCTAATAAAAAAACTTTTTTTTCCTAAAAAAAACCTCTAATATTAAAAAAATACCTCGCACGAACAAGCACATATTTACGTAGACATTCTGCAATTGGAGACGAGAGCAGTCAACAATGCTTATAGATGCTCTCAAGGTCACTGTAATCAGTCAATGTCTTGCGGTGAGATCCATAAACATTCTCGAGGGGATGTAGAGGAATGGCCAAGGATAACATCTATGAGAATCCAAGAGTCCTGAAATGATGACACAAAGTTTATTCAGCTGGTTCATTTGGTTATCAGTTGGAAATTCCTCAGGGAGGGGGTGGTGAGTGTCAGATCACATGTTCTCCAGGTGAATTCAGATAAGATGACCTTCAAGACCAGCCATGGGAACCAAAATTTAGATAAACACACAGTTGTTTTCGGGACAGGCAGGACTTAATGACATCTACCTTGAGTCTGTGTTGGTCAACTCGGTTCCGAAATGTCCAATTTAACATGGCCACACCACTGGAACGTGACTGAGTAAAATCCCCAAGATCTGATCCATTCAGCCCAAAGCATTTGAGTCCGGGTACTCGAGACACGAACCAAGCCATCAAAAAGGCAAGCAGCATGATCCGGTCCAAATTTGCTGCCGATGACTTCCTTGATTGTAGATTAAAAACCAGCAACCAGCTGTAGAAGAAAGGGTCCTCAGATTGTTGAGTTTTATTAGTAATTTTATTATTTATTCTATACCACTTGCTTTCCTGTTCTGAAGCAAGAACTTTTTAAATCAGACTTGAATTTTACCCTTTTTTAGTGAGTTATTTTCGTATTAAATTCAAATGTCATATATAATGAAAACACTTTGAGTCAAAGTACAATTTTGTGAGGTTTATTATCAGTTTTGGTATAAGTGGTCAAAATCAAATCATGAGTACAGCTGAAAAATGAATGATGGCTTTAATTTGACAACACAAGATGATGTTAGATAATTATCTTCTAACTTTAATATGGTGAATTATGAGGTTTAAAAGCAGAGTAAATTATCATCTATAAATTTAATTAAATGGAGTAGACAGATGTAATCTGTCAATTTAGGAAAACTTAATTCTAATTAATAATGATTGATTTTTTTAGACTGGACAACTTCTTATCTTGGGCATCAGACACCAGCAGAGAAAGAGGATCAGCTTTTCCTACAGATTGGAGAGTATAATTCAACCACCGCGGGTTACCAGGACTCTGTTGAGATGAGTTAAAGCATCAAAGGTGGGATTTCCCTCGACCCTGGACATCAGCTGAAATATAGTCGACAGTTAGGCTCCCGATGGGGTCAGTTGATGAGCTACCGGAGGGCTGCGTTTTCTCCTTCTGGTGACAAGGATCTTCTGGCATAAGTTTCCAATTGTTTGACCTTACTTCTTCAAAGCTTCTTCCAGACTGCTCTAAGCCAAATGTCAGAAAAATAAATTTCTTTGACTTAGAGGGCGTTACAATATTGATGGTCGAGCCAATCACAACAGAAGGATGGACCTTCGTTCCAAGTTACTGTTTGAACTTTAATAACCTCAATAAAAATATTAAATGACTAATTTATTCTGCTTTGGTAAATTCTCAATATAACAGGATAATCAAAACTTCTAAGCAGTTTTTTTTCATCCATAAACATTTTCATTAGACTTATGCAAACACAGTTGAAACTTTGAATACCAGTTTTACATCAAAACATTCACTTGTGTTAAGGAGAACTCAGAAATGATTTCTACCGTGGGATAGAAAAGAGTCCTTGAGAACAATGGGGTCTTTGTCACACTAAGACTATAGGATGAATCCTCCCTTTAGGAAGAGATAAGCATAAGCTTTAGATGTTATATTTCAATGGTCAGATGGAAAGGTTCTCATAGAAAGGGCCTTTTAGCTTTGCTGAAATCATAATCCCAGGTGTGCAATTAATTACAAAAACATATTGTTATTATTCTTTTTTGTAACATGGTTCCTTACTGTCCAGCTTTGTAATGAGAGTCAGTCTTACTTTCAAAGTATCAAAAGAATAAAAGTTGATAGTAGAAAAACCTCGATGTGTCCCTACATATCCCCCACTTTGCGATTTACAACCCGATCCATGGTTGGTGAATAGCAACAAACAGCATCCATACATCAGATGGGTTCCAACAAGTGTTGAGATACATTCCAAAAGTCAAAGTCAGTAACTCCAAGGTAGGAAAGGAGAAATTAATTAACGTTATTCCATACAAAGTCAAAAGGAATAGTTCCAATAGAAAATTAATCCAGGTTATTCCAAGTGAGAGGTTATTCCAAAAAAAAAAAAAATAATTCCATACTCTTTCTGGTGGAAGAGTGATGGGGACCGGTTGGCGTACCTTTGCCTATACTCTAAGGTTTTTGAAGTCAATCAAAGGCTGAAATTGGTTTAAAAGATCTTGGCCTACTAAGAAAGGGATGGACTCAAGGTGTGATACATACACGAGGTGTATGATCATCATTGGTCCAATCTAAAGTTGAATCAGGGCTACTCTGGACAGAGTGGTTTCATCGAGGGTGTACGGCTTCACATCTAAGGCACATGGTTGGAGGATAAGATCTCTGCCGGCCCGATTTGCCACTGATCGCAGTTTCTCAAACAGTGTGGCAGACATTAGTGTTATGTCTGCCCCAGTGTCCAGAAGAGCATCATGTGTCATAACCTGTTCAAGGGTCAGGGAAAGATATAACTTTCTTTCGACTCCTTTTTCAGTTAGGTTACACAAGAACTGTTGCACTGGAGGTTCCACTGGAATCCTAGAGTCATCATTCTCAAATGAAGGGTCATCAACATTCATTTGAGACAGCACTTGGTATGTGTGACTGGTCAGTTTCTGATTCTGAACCATAAAGGTCAAGATCAGAGGTCTATACTTCAGCAGTAGGGGAAGAGCTGCGATCTGCAGTTGAAGATTGAGTCTCTTCCCTTATGACTTGGGGTTCCAAAGGTAGAGTGGCAACAGTTGGACTGTTAAATTCAGGAACAAGATACATTATTGGTAGAAGGTCAGCCTTGTTCTGTTTATTGTCTTTGCGTATTTCTTCCAGTATATGCATGACAATCTGCCTATCTTTTGGGTTTAGATCGCTGAGGTCTTCTTGAGGCTTGGTTGACTCCCTTACTTTTTCAGGATGTCGCACATGCGGTGAGACTGGTTCTTTTTCAGGTTGAGCACGACAGTTCTGAAACTGGTGGGTCTGCTTTGAGGGTTGGTCATGATTTGTGAATCTGCGGTTATATTTTGGGGAGTGTCTAACCCCCTGATAATCTCTGTTGTAGTTTCGGTAGTCAGGATGTGGATAGTTTTGGTTCTTTAAAGAGTCTGGATGTTTACTTGGGCCTTTACCCTAACAAGGATTGTCAGGCCCGAAATACTGTTGTGTCTCACTGGATTTGGGTGTTGGAGGTGCACATTTATCTCGGTGCGAGTCAGAATTTTGCACCAGTTCCTTCAAGTTCTAATGGCAAAGAACTTGTATTCATCATTAGGACAGCGTTTGGTCAGCCAGTCTGGCCTGTTTTAGCTTCTGGAATGCTAAAGTGGCCCAGTCGTGAAGCTGCTGAATCGTGGCAGTCCAAGGGTCAGCCATTATGCCTAGCTGATGGCTAACAGATGGATGGAGATTTTGGACAAATAGAGTTAGAAAATTAGTGTCTTCTTCCATCTGAGGTTCATTTCGCAAACAAAAATAAGCACGGAGAAGCCGGCAATAGTAGTTGTTTGATGGTTCGTGTCTGCCTTTTCTGACTGTAAGGGCTGATGCCAGTCCAGACTGTAAGCCAAGGTCAGAGAACTCTTTCTGTAGAGCTTGACGCAAGAAGAGACTAGTCTGTACGTGAGTCGGTTGATGGTCGACAAACTTATTGACCTCCCTACTGGCTGTCAGCTTAATCAGGTAGATGTAGTCCCGGACGGTAGTGTCAGGAAATCTTTGAAGGTGGAAGTCAAGGTCATCAAGATAAGCTCTGGTGTCATGTTGACCACTTGCTGAGGGGTCAAAGCAGCTGATGTTTTTAGCAATTTTGTCCAATTCTCTGTCGGACGGACCATGCCGGGCTCGGTTTACTCTTTGGTCTGGAGGGGGGGTCACGTCTAGTGACTGTTGGTGTAACTGGAGGGTAAGTCCAGGTTACCATGGGGGAGTTGGGCTTAAAGGCATACTCCCCTGCTGATCTACTTGTCTGGCCCAAGTCATCAACATGTGTTGGGTAAACTCGAGGAGGGGTCACGCTCACCCGAGGAGGAGGTGGTGAACTCACCTGAGGAGGTTCTGCACCTGTGTCAGGGAGTTCCTGAGTGGTTGAGCTTGTTTTTATTTATTTTTTTTTATTTTAATGTATTTATTCATTTCAAATTAAAAACACAATAACAATTTCAAAACAAGAGAGTAAAATACAAAACATAAAATGAAAGACAGCAGAAGAAGAAAAAAAATCTTATTATTTCTGCCACTTCTTAAACAAAATCAATTCAAACAATCAATTCAATCAATAATCATCTATAAATAATACAACAAAATTACATAACTGTTCACAATTTTTCCATTTATATTTCGTTTGATATTAACTAACTTAAATCTACATGTATCTATTCAACAATATGTTCTTAATCTTTTTCTTGAATATAAACATTGACTTTGATTTTTTTTACATCATCATCCAAACTATTCCAAAAACCTATTCCCTGTACTGAAGTAGACCTACCCCTTAAACTAGTCCTATACTTTGGTTTCACAAATATATCTGTTCCCTTTAGAGTATAACAACTTTTCCTTTTAACAAAATATGCTTGAATGTTCGAGGGTAGTATATAATTCTGAGCTTTATACATAAGTAAGAGAATATTATAATCCACCAGATCATAAGACTTAAGTAATTTCAATTTATAAAATAAAGTAGTTGTAGGATGACAGTAATGTTTTCTAGTTATAATTCTTATAGCTCTTTTCTGTAACACAAAAATAGGCTTAGTTATAGTTTTACAAGCTGTTCCCCAAACATCAACACAGTAAATTAAATGCGGGACTATAAAAGTATTGTACAGCAAACACAAAGCATTATCATTCAAAAGATCCCTTACTTTATACAGTACTGCCATGGACTTAGATATTTTAGTTTTTACAAAATTTATGTGTTGTTTCCATGACAGTTTATCATCAATAATTACACCCAAAAACCTTACCTCATTCACTCTACATATCTCAACACCATCAAGTTTGAAAGGAAAATCCACAGTTATCTTTTTTTTTTAATTAAATATCATAAAATTAGTTTTAGCAACATTCAATGATAATTTGTTTAATTTAAACCAAGTTTGTATTTTAACAAACTCCATCTTCATTAACTCAAACATCTGTTGCAAGTTTTTACCCGAACAAAAGAATGTGGTATCATCAGCAAATAAAACACCTTTCAGGATACCAGACACCTCAATTAAATCATTTACGTATAAAATAAACAACTTATGTCCAAAAACTGAACCTTGAGGTACTCCACATGAGACACTGCATAGATTAGAGCTTACATCATCAATCTGTACAAACTGTTTTCTGTCCCTCAGATAACTAGATATCCACTGTAGAGCTGGACCTCTAATACCATACTGTTTCAATTTTTCAAGTAGAATGGTGTGGTCAATTGTGTCAAATGCTTTTTGTTAAATCCACAAATATGCTTATACAGTGTTGTTTTTGATCTATCGCTGTAGTAACTTGTTCTGTCAACTCCATAAGAGCCAAGGATGTTGAATTTTTTTTTATCTAAAACCATACTGACTATTACTTAAAATATTATGTTTATCAAGAAATTTATCTAATCTGGACACAAATAATTTTTCAAGAATTTTTGAAAATTGTGGCAACAAAGATATAGGTCTATAGTTGCTAAATATACATTTTTCACCATTTTTAAAAAGAGGAACTACCTTAGCTATTTTCATTCTGTCAGGGAATATTCCTTTTGAAAATGATAAATTACAGATATATGTGAATGGCTCAATAACATGACCCATTATTTCTTTCACAACCATCATATCCATGTCTTCACAATCTTTAGATCTTTTGTCAGTAATTTTTTTTAACTACTTTCATTATTTCTTCTTTATCAGTTCCATCTAGAAACAGACTGTTTACACAACCATTGATTAAATAACTCACGTTTTTATCCACTTTAGGAATTGAAGCTGCAAGATTAGACCCAACATTTACAAAATAATGATTAAATCCATTAACGATTTCATTTTCATCCTGAATTTCCACATTATTTTCCACAAAATGTTGTGAAAGTCCCATATTATCCTTGTGTTTTTTTATAACATTGTTCATTACTCGCCATGTTGCCCTCATGTCACCACTACATTTGTGTAATAATTCACTATAATATTCTCTCTTATGTTTCCTTATAATCCCTACTAATTTGTTTTTATACTTTTTATATTTATCTTCAGCCTCTTGAGTTCTGGATTTCAGGAAACAAGAATACAGATAATTCTTTTTTTTACATGCGTTTCTCAATCCTTTAGTCATCCATGGATGATCAACTGTATTTTTCTTTAGATAATTTTTTTGCACACAATTTTTTTTATACAATACTTCAAGAATCTTCATAAACTTATCATAAGATTTGTTCACATCGTCTGTATACACTTCTACCCAATTTTGTTTAGCTAAGTCATCTTTAAATTTATCTAATGCTTTTTTGGATGTGTTTATTATTTTATTCTTTCTTATAAGTGTTTTTGATATACTGACATCGTTTTTATAAATAGTGAACACTGGTAAATGATCACTAATGTCAGTCATCAAAATACCACTCACCATATCACCATCTGTTATATTTGTGAAGATATTATCAATTATTGTTGCACTTTGAGTTGTGATTCTTGTTGCATTTGATATTAACGGATACAAATTTGAACTATACATTGAATTTATGAATGTACTGATGTTATTTGAATCAGTTTTATTTCCTAAATCAATATTGAAGTCTCTACATAAAAAAACTTTTTTATTTCTGCTCTTTACTAGTAACTCCAATATTTTATCGGTAAACATTGTAGCACGTTTCTGGGTTCTGGAAAGTTTATTTTGTAATTGTTGTATCAGTTTGTCTTTATTACGTAATTGTTCTACATGAGTTTTGTTCTCTGTCTTTATACGGTCCAGATCAGTGTAAGCTTGTTGAAGGGCCATGTCAATATTTGTTGGTTGGATGCGAGTTCGTCTTTTACATCTGTGTGTGCGTGACTGAGGAGGTCCAAGTTTTTTGTTAAATCTGACACTTCTGTTTTCATTTGGTTCTCATTGAGGACCATGTTATCATATTGTGTTTGAAGAGATTTGTTTGCTTCTTTTAATTGACCTATATTTTTCTTTTTCTTTTTGAGAGTGTCCGCAGCTTGGATAACCAAGTTATGGGTTAGTTCCAGTCATCTGGCCACAAGTATTGCCAAGCTTCCTAGAGCTTTAGTGACCTCATGACCTTTGGGTGTGTGAATCACCACATCCGTTGCTAACTCAACTGTGATCCGTTCTAGTTCATTAGAGCACTGGTTTTTAATTTGGTCCAGATAATTAGGATTTGTTTCTGTGGTTAGATCTTCTAGGGCTTGTGTCAATAAAATAAATGGGTCTTCTGGGATAAACTCTTCAGAATTACTCATGTCGGTCAAAATGTCTGAATGGCTTCCAGCCATGATCTTTATGTATACAAATTAACAAATTTTGGTTAGTGTTAGCTTTAACTGTGTCTTAATTTGTGTGGGTTATCTGTATTGAATAGCTAGTTAATTGGTTAAAGAATTTAACTTTTATTGTTTGAGTTTGGGCAGCACGGTGGCGCAACTGGTAGAGCTGCTGCCTCTCAGCGAGCAGGTCCCTGGTTCAAACCCCGGTCCAGGGGCCTTTCTGGGTGGAGTTTGCATGTTCTCTCCGTGCATGCGTGGGTTTTCTCCGGGTACTCCGGTTTCCTCCCACAGACCAAAAACATGCATGTTAGGCTGATTGGTAACTCTAAATTGTCCCTAGGTGTGAGTGAGAGAGTGAATGGTTGTTTGTCTCGTTTGTCTCTATGTGTCCCTGTGATGGACTGGAGACCTGTCCAGGGTGTACCCCGCCCCTCGCACAGTGATTGATGGACATGAGCACCAGCGATCCCCGTGACCCAAAATGGAATAAACGGGTAAAGATAATGGATGGATGGATGGATGGATGGGTGTGT